CAGTGACACACCTCTGCTTGCAAGGCCACACCTTTTAACCCTTCCCTAACAATTCCACCATACGGGAACCAAGTATTCAACTATATGAGCCTATGGGGCTGCATTCTCATTCACACCACCACACCCCCAAATAAACAAAAGGTGATAAAAAAGGAAGTGAGGACATTGGGCTATTCCTTTAAAGAGATTATTCGGGACCAGGCCTGTGACTCAGAAGGTGAGTGCTTGCCCAATATGCCTGAAGCATCTGGCTGAGCTCCCTATCCCCCCAAATAAAGGGCATCTGAAGGGAATGCTGGAACTCCCTCCCCTGCCTTCATCTTTCTGCTTCCTGTTCATGCCATGATGTTCTACTTCATTGTGGGTCCAAAGTAACACTTTATATCACTACGGATTGAAACCTATGAAAACATGAAACCAAATAACAATTTTTATTTTAATTTGAAAGACTAAAAATGTCACTTGGAAATAAAGGGGGCGGACATACAGAAATGGATCAGGACACAACGGACAGAGGGGTGAGCTGTAAATACAGCAGCTTACACCATATATCTTAGAGGATCAGTCTCCCGCACACACAGGCTTTGTAATATCAGACGGTCTATTTGTTCACAATGTTAAAGGGCATCTAGAAATAGCAACAGCAAGGGATTGAAAGTTGCCTGAAGAATGAGCACAGAAAGGCTGCATCCAAAGACGGCCTGCCACTCAGGAGGGTGGAGCCTTCCTGTTGACCACTGTCTTGCAAAAAGTGCAGAAAGGGGTGGGGTAGCATTAGTCTTCTGCTGTCACTCCTTCCACTGGGTCCTTTTGTCTTGTCTCATCCAGCTGTCTCTTTGTCTCTTCTTCCATCCTCTGAATGTCATCCATAGTCAGATCAACCCATTTATCGGACAACAGAACAGCTGCCCGTGAAAGTTTGTAAACAGACGCTTCTCTTGGTTATGTATAAAATTTTCCACTTTGTTCTGCAAGCCCCACCAATTGAACTTGACAGTAACCAGTTTGTATGCACACATACATGGGTAGCCTTTCCGATTTACAAGTTCTTGCTTCCAATTTGGGCCCAAAGGTCTCCGTCCTGTTTTGGCAGATTTAAATTTTGCTGGGTCTTCTTCTGCCTTGTAACCCTTGCTAAGTGCTTGGCTTCGATCAGCAATGGTCTATATTTACAGCTTCCAAATGTTTCCATGTCTCAGGCTCCAGCTTATGCACATTCTCCTGGGTGCCAAGATCTGGCTTGTGCCAGGTTTCAATTTTAATCAGAAAGTCTTTTTCCATGTACTCATTTGCAATAACAGTTCTGCAGTAAGGGTAGGCATTCCAGGCTTTCTCATGTATATTCAGGGCTCCTTCTGGGGCTAGCATTCGAACAAATGTGGGTACTTTGTAAGTGGTAGATCTTGTGTGTGTACTGGCCTTTCTCGCTGACATCCTTCTTATACGGCTCGTTCACCAAGACCTCCACACCTTCCCCACCACCAGTTTCATTTTTACTGGCTTCAGCCACGGCATACAGCTGCCCCGCTTGATAATCATCTACAGACACAGGCAGGATGACTCTGATTCGCAGACCTCTCACATCTTTCTTGCCTACTCCCTCGACCGTCTCTCCTCCAAGACTTGCTCATGCATCTAGTAAAACAGAAGCTTGAAAGATTTTAGTTCACGGAGAGAAAAAGTTTCCCACAGGCCTTGGCCCATTACAAGGAAGCTAGCCCCAACCCTGGGCACATCCTATGGTTTAGACAGAGGCAATTGCCAAGACAACCCTCTTTGGGTCACACCTGGCTGGCCAACAGACAATCAAGGACCTTCCAGGGTACATTCTGTGGTTTTTCCTTTATAAAAAAGCAGGTCACACCTGGGTGACCACTCTAACATGAGATCATACTTTGTAATTAATCACTTTGTGCCCCTTGCCTGTATGCTGATCTGCGGTTTTTTCCTATATAAGGAGCCTGTAACCCTTGCTAGGGTGTGCAGCTTTCCCGATATTGCTGACACCCGAATGTGCATTCGTTCAATAAACCCTCTTGCTTTTGCAGCTCTTGGTCTGGTTTCTGAGTCTTGGGGGCTCCTCAGGATCCTGAGGCCCTTAGGAGTCTGGGGGTCTTTCAAGCTAATAGCGAAGACTCATCATGATGAGGATTCAGATTCAAAGAATGTGGCCCCGGTAGTGTGCATCAGTGGGCTCAACTTCCAACATCAGCCCTCAAGGTCAAGGGCTGTGAAGGAGACAATTCCCCAGAGCCTTAATCAACCCTAGAGACTCAAGTGCCGACACCTCTGCTCTCTGAAGGATGTTACCACCAAATAATTTCATAAGCTGATTTGCCAATGTATTTTGTCACCACATTGTTATAGCTTGAATCTGTGATGTCCTCCAAAAAGCTCATGGGTTGAGGATTTTCAAAAATGTGTGGATCCAAGGTCTCTGACCTAATCAATGTTCTAATCCTTGATAGGTTTATAATATGGTGGTATAATATATAGGTTTATAATATGCTGGCCTCGAACTCACAGAAACCCACCTGCTTCTGCCTCCCTAGTGCAAGGATTAAAGGCGTGCACCATCAATGCCTGGCTAATATGGTGATATTATTGGAAGGTGGCAGAGAGTAGGAGTTGGGCCTGGTTGGAGTAAGTAGGTCAGTTTTTTGTTTTTTTGTTTTTTGTCATCCCGGCAGTTTCCTGGCTCTGCTCCCTAACTGGCATGAAGTCGATGGCTTTACTGCTCCATGCTCTGCCACCTGGATGTTCTATTGTGCCATAAGCCCAAAAAATAGTGGCTACTGGCCAAGGATGGAAACTTCTGGAATTCTAAGGCAGAATCTATTCTTTCTCTAAATTATTCTGGGTATTTGGTCACAGACGAAAAATCTAATGCAGCAATGGAAACAATAGGCCATGGATTTGAGGTTGGAAGACAATTTAGCTAGTAAAGTGCTTATCTTGCAGGCAACAGAGCTCTGAAGCTAGCTGGCCAGAGCTGCTCAGTCTCCAGCTCCAGGTTCAGTCAGAGATTCTGACTCAAAATGTAAGATAAACAGCAATAGAGAAGGGCACCAGACACCAACTTCTGCCTTTCACATGCATGCTTTTGCACTCTGGGCTCACACACACACACACACACACACACACACACACAGAGAGAGAGAGAGAGAGAGAGAGAGAGAGAGAGAGAGAGAGAGAGACCACATGTACATATACATGCAAAAGGACAGAAATCATAGATCTTATTTTAAAATTAGTGTTAGCTTAAGATTTCTGTTGTTTTGTTAGAAGTCTATCTGCCTTTATTGCCACTACTGTCTAACTAATTAGATCTAATTTCTTTTTCTTTTAGATTTCATTTCTATTTACGTGTATGTATATGTCTATGTGAATGTTTGCTATGGGTGTGTAGGAGTCCACAGAGGCCAGAAGGCAAGAGGTGACTGCTCTGCAGCAGAATTACAAGTGTTTGTGAGCCATACACTGTGGGTGCTGGGAACTGAATTTTGTCTTCCAGAAGAACTAAAAGCATTCCTGACCTCTGAGTGATCTCTCTAGCCTGCTCCCTTTTAAATTATATTTTACTTTTAAAAATTTTTATTTGTGTGTGTGTATGTGTGTGTGTGTGTGTGTGTGTGTGTGTGTGTGTTTATGATTGTATGCCAAGTGTGTATGGAAAAGGGGCCAGGGAAAAGACACCCTGACTTGACCCAGAGTGCCCGAGACTTGGAAATTTTTGCCCCAGTGACTCAGGTTTAATGTCCAAACAATATGTCTGGTCATACTATACTTTTCCACTACCTCACTGTACACGTGCCAAAAAGCCTGACAGAGCCCACCCTCTCTGCACAACCCTCTGCTGTCTCTCTTCCAGTTCAGAGGCAGCCACCACCTTGTGTTTCTCCCCCAATAAATCTCTTGTGTGAGGTTTGTTGCATGGTGTGACTTTGTGATATTTCTTGGCTCCTAATTGCTAAGATACCTTTGTAAGCATTGCAGCTCTGAGGGGGATGTTTCCCCAGTGGAGAACCAGTTATTTAAGAGTCTGTTTTTTCCTCCAGTGATTATTTTTAGTGTCATTGTCAAATCAAGTGGGTATAACTTGTGTAGGTTTATGTTTGGGTCTTCTATTGTATTCCACTAACCAATACGTCTGTTTTTTATGTAGGACTAAGGCTATTTTTTTTATTACTATGGCTTTGTATATAGCTTGAAATCAGGTATAATGATATCTCTAGCATTAGTTTTCTGCTTAGTATTTCTTGGCTATTCAAGACCTTTTGTACTTTCAAATGAATTGTAAGATTGTTTCTTCTTTGTTGGTAAAAATGATGTTAGTATTTTGATGGGTGTTGCATCTAATCTATAGATTGTTTTTTTTGGTAAGATAGTCATTATCACAATATTGATTCTTCCAATCTAAAGCATGGGAAGGCCTTTCTGTCATCTTCAAGGTCTCTCTTTGTTATTGTTGTTTTAATTTATTATTCATTTTTGTTTAATGTGCATTGGTGTTTTGCTTGCATGTGTGTCTACATGAGGGAGTTAGATCTACTGGAACTTGAATTTCAGATAGTTGTGAGCTGCCATGTGGGAGCTGGGAATTGAACCCTAGTCCTCTGGAAGAGCAGCCAGTACTCTTAACCACTAAGCCATCTCTCCAGTGCCCTATTTTGGTTTTTCAAAGTTTTCATTCAAGAAGTTGTTTACTCCCTTGGTTAGGATTATTTCAAAGGCCCTTTTCTTAAGTCAGTATTACACGTGTATATAGGAAGGCTATAGGATTTTTTTTTTTTTTAGAACAACTCAGCAAAATAAAATTCCGGTTTACTGTTGGACATTGTTTCACACATACATCAAACAGGCCAAAAAAA